ATATATCGAACATTTGTATGGCAGCTATATGATATAGTCGTCCGATCCGGCCCGTTCAGACATATATAGCAGTGAGAGTATATAGAAGACTATATGCAAAGTTTCATTCAGATAACTTTAAAACTGAGGGACTAGTTTGCGTAGAAACGGACAGACGGACGGACATGGCTAGATCGACTCGGCTGTTGATGATCAAGAATATATATACTTTATAGAGTCGGAAACGTCTCCTTCACTGCGTTGCAAACTTCTGACTGAAATTATAATACCCTGCAAGGGTATAACAAGAAAGGAAGCTAACTTCGGCACGCCGAAGTTTGTATACCCTTGCAGATTGGTTTTGATATTTATGTACATATATTATAAATTCCCTGCAGTACCACATTTCATCAATAGGCCTTTTCATCAACATTTCATCAACGCGCCGACTGCGACGCCGACAGAATCGACGCTCTGCCGACTGCTGCTTGAACCCGAACTCCCTTCGTGTACCCGAACTCCCTTCGAGTCCGATTTATTGGTGCATGTCAAAAAAAAAAACAAAAACAACAAAGTAGGAAACGCAAATTCTACCTACTCTCTGCTACTGTCCGTTTTTCTCGAACCTTCGACTGCATAAATTAGAGAGAGGGATGGTGATAGAGCAAAGGAAGGGGGAAAAAAACTGCCGAAAACGAATTGTGTGGCAGCAACGTCAGAATACTCTTTTTTTTTTGTTTAATGGGAATATTTATAAATATTTAAGATTGTCTTGAATTAATTTTAACTTGTTTAATCATATAATGGCATATGTTAGTTATTTGCTTTGGCCGTAACCAAAATGTTAATGGTGCATTATTTGCCGTATGTGCATTTAATTACAAGGCATTGCTTTAGTCGGCTATACCCTGGCACGCGCTAGAATTTTCGGTCGTCGGTTTTTGGTTTCGTCTTGCTTCCCCCCATTCCCTTCGCATTAGAAGTTGAAGTGCTCTCCGGTGCAGAAGTGAAGTGAAGTGTTAAATCAAATTAATAAACAAACTACTTTCCGGGTCTTATTGGTGATATAAACAGGTGAGTAAAGTGATTGTTTTAAGTTAAATAAATTCATTTGTGAATTCGATATTATATACATATGTACAAGTGCATTCGCGGCATATTTTTTGTCATACATACATATGTATATACATATTTAATCGTAATGTTTTTGCGCGCGTTAAATACAGTGACGAACTTAATTATTGGCACAGTGTTAATGTTAATGTTAATGTATTTAAATAAAATTTATTTAAATGTTAATATATTTAAATAAAATTTATTTAAATGTTAATATATTTAAATAAAATTTATTTCATGTAAATATCGCTATATATAAGGAAGAAAAACTGTGCCAAAGCCAGTATTCTTTATTTATTTTATTTTCTTTTTTATTTTATTTCATTTTTTATTTTATTTCATTTTTTATTTTATTTCTTTTATTATTTATTATTTCACTTATATAAATTTTCAGCGTTTAATAAAAATGGTTGGAGATAGGCAAATGCATAGGCGAGTAAAGAAAGAGCAGGAGAAATTGAGGGAGCAGATAAGAGTAGCAATAAATAGAAATGAAGAAGTAGGTGTTTCAAATGTAGGAGTTGAAAATGTAGGAGGTCAAAATGTAGGAATTGAAAATGTAGGAATTGAAAATGTAGGAATTGAATATGTAGGAATTGAAAATGTAGGAGTTGAAGAGGAAATGGTAAATGTTGGGAATCAAAATGATTTGAATGCCGATTTAAAAGAATGGTATTTAAAACATAAACCAACAAGAAATTGTGCGACTGATTTAATTAATATTCTCAATCGTCACAATTTAAAAATAAAGCCATTTTATAGATTCAAGAGCTCTAATAAGCCCGATGTAATGCAAATTAACGGGGGCTCTTATTTGCATATCGGCTTAAAGAAGCAATTAGAAAGAATATAAATTAGGGAAGAAATTCCTGAATATCTTGACATTAATGTCAATATTGACGGACTACCGTTATTTAAAAGTTCTCGTGCCCAATTGTGGCCAATTTTAATTAGGATAAATAATTTAAAGAATTTTCCTGTTTTGCCAATAGGCGTTTTCATGGGGTATAATAAACCTCTGGATAGCGATGAGTTTTTAGATAGGTTTGTTAATGAGTTGTCCGATGTACTACATAATGGTATTACCATATTAAAAAAAAAGATTTTTTTTACATTTAGGGCTATTATTTGCGATGCTCCTGCAAGAGCTTACGTGACAGGCACGCCTGCTCACACATCCAGCCATGGGTGTACAAAGTGCTTGCAGGTTGGCAAAAAAATAAATTCTGTTTTGACTTACAGTACAAGGTGTGAGGATTTAATTTCGGACGAAGATTTTCGTAGTAGAAAGTATCCTTCACACCATAGCTCAAAATATTTAAATGTTCAGTCCGCTTTCGAGAAACTTGGTGTTTTAATGGTAACACAAGTTCCCCTAGACTGCATGCATCTGGTAGAACTGGGTGTGATGCGAAAATTTTTACTTAGGATACATAATAATAAAGTGGTAGAAAAATTGAGCCCAATTGAAAAGGGAAAGATTTCGCAGGCATTGACATCAATGAGTTTAGGTTTATGACAGGAGACTGACTTGACCATCTCATAACAGTTACCTCTCTCTTGCCAAAAAAGACCTGTTTGGTCATCCAAGGCCATTTCCGGCGAAATTGACATTTAAATTTGAGCTCGAACAGTTTGTCGTAGACTGCATGAGACAGGATTACAAGGACGTATACCCTAAAAGGTTCTATTACTTCAAGGAAAATTTTTTCAGATGAAGCGTAAGCTTTGCAACATTTTTTTGGTATGGTCTGAACCGGAGGTGGAAACAAAATACTTTGGGGCAATGAAACAAAAATATTTCTTTTTGAAAACGATTCTAGACGGTTTGTACGTCAAACCAAAGTCAAAAAATTGAGCTTTGAAACGCGAAAAAAAAAAGTTAAGCCCGGAGACAGATGCATAAAGGTCAGGGGCTGTTTTTCCTGGCATGGCGTTGTGCAAATACATCTCATAAATGGTATTACGACCGAATTCGAAAATAAAACTTTTTTAACTGGCATCTTCTAACCATATGCTTAGGGAAACATGCCCTTCCGATAGATTTTTCAACGAGATAACGATCCAAAGTAAACCTTAAAAGTCATCATGGCCTGGTTTAGGGACAAAAAAGTAACCATGGGTTGGAAAAGTCAGTTTCCGAACTCATACCTAATCAAAAATTTATGGGGAAACTTAAAACGTCGTATTGTAACCAATACATTTAAAAATTTTGAAGATTTGTGAAGATTTGCTGAAGAAACATGGTCTGAGTTTCTAGTAGTGACTTGCAACAGACTTCTTGCTAGAATGCCAAAAATAATAGCGAAAGTTACCTGAAACGAATGTGGTTTTATTGGATACTAATCTAAGTTTACTTATAAGAAAAAAACAGTGCAAAATATCTAATACGTTCCGAGTTCTAGGCTTAGAAGAATGGGTGTACTTATTATTTTGGCCAAAATTTTCATGCTTTTTGGATAAAATTGACCCCTGTCTCTAAATTTGAAATGTAAAATCCTTTAGGCAGTTATTATTATATTCTGGGATAAGTATGGAAACTAAAAATAAAGTGGGTTTTTTTCTTAAGTTTATCAAACAAATTTTATAGGACTTGAAACAAACCACATAGGCATGTACTTATTATTTCGGCCAGTAGTGTATGTTCCCAAAGAGTTTGCACGCAAGCCGAGGACTTTGTTGGAGCTCCCAAACTGGAAAGCCACAGAGTTTAGACAGTTTTTATTGTATACCGGGATAGTGGCTTTAAAAGATTCAATAAAAACAGAACAGTACTATGCATTTTTGTTATTACATTGTGCATATACATTGCTCTGCTCTGAAAAACAAGGCCAACAAAATTTTAATGTTTCACAGGACATGTTAAATTTTTTTTTTGAGAATTTCCCGCTTGTTTTTGGTGAAGACAGTGTTTCATATAATGTCCACGGTTTGCCTCATATTAGCGAAACGATGAAAGTAGTCGGAGATCCGATAAGTGGTTCATCTTACGCATTTGAAAATTATTTGCAGACTCTCAAGCTTGTGTCCAAAAACCCACACAAATCCTAGAACAGATTTTTAGAAAAATTAGCGAGGAGAAATTAGAAGTTACTCCAGATAAAAGTATTAGGTTAGAAGGCAGGGTTTTAAAAATGAAAGGTTGTGTTCTTAGCGAGAAAAGTCCCGATAATTTTTGTTTTGTGCAGGATATAGTCCATATTAAAATATATTCATTTGAAGAACAGGAAGGAGATATTTTTATTGTAGGAAAAAGATTTTCGGAACTCTTTAGTTTCTATGATGCTCCGATTAGTTCATTTGATGTGGGTATATGCGAGGGTATTTTAGAAGAGGATTCCATGTTAGAAAAATTTTCAGTACCAGAGTTTAGCAGAAAAGCCATTGGAATTCCTCATAAAAATATGATAGTTTTAATACCATTTCAACATTATTATTAGGAGTTTGTTTTGTTTTAATGGGAGGTGTATAGTCCGTAGGCGTCTTATAGGACGAATCGGGCATATATAGAGTGAAATCGTTTTATATATCTTTAGAAGATTCACCTACCCGGTTTAAAAACCGAAAAAAAAAAATCTTACCTAGGTAGGTTTTTTATTTATCATTTATATTATTTATTTATTTATTTTTATTTAATTTGATTTGATTAATTTTTTTAATTTCTTATAATTTGTTTTTTTTTTTTTTTTATTATTATTTTCTGTAGTCTTAGGTTATCTTTATTATCTTTATCTTAATTATATTGCCTTTCTTTTGTAGTCGCTTTGCAAAAAATGAGTTTTCCAGCCCCAACTAATCTCTCACCGGGAAATGAGAAGAGCCGTAAGTATTAAAATGCCGACAAATCACCATGCGTTATATTTTACTGATTTGTTTTGTTTGGTTTTACAGAGAACGATATAATATTGGCAAAAATTGATGGTATGTATTTTCGGAAGTTTATATATAATAATATAATGAATAAAGTTTCTTTTTCATTTACATAGGTCTCCAGAGCTCTGTCAATGAATTAAAAATAATGACGGCTGTTCTCACAGATACCGTTGGTGCCCTGACGGCTTTGGTAAAGGGGGCGTACAAGGAAGCCCGAAGCGAAAAGGCGTTTAGGGATCTCGAGTTCCCTATAATGACGGAGGCGGACTTAATAAAAGCTAATAGCCTTTTAGACGGGGAATCGACCCCAAAACTCGTAAGTATTTCTTTCTTTGATATATGTATATTATATTATTTTTATATATATAATATATTTATATATTATGTTTATATTTTTTATTTTCAGACTACAGCAATGGCCAATATCTTAAACAGGGGAAAGATATCCAAAACAATAAGGGATGTTTTAGGCCGAGATATTCTTTTACATTTCAACATAGAAGGCGCGAAGAACAAGAAAAGGTGGAAAGACCATGATCGTTTCTACTTGGCTCTTATGGGTAATTTTTATTAAATTTAATTATTCTTTCCCTCAATTAATTATTATTTTTTTTGTAGATGCAATCGCCCAAATTGATTAATCTGAACCTCCAGAAAAAATTCTGGGAAAGGTCCTGAGGTGCGCTAAAAATTTGGACTCCGCGATCAAAACAAACAAAAAGCGGAAACCGGAGGAGCCAGTAGACCTCGATGCGATTTAATTTATTGATGAAGTGTAATTCATTTATATTTTAGTATATAATAAAAAATAATAATGAAATTGTGTGAAATTTTCATTTATATACAAATAAAATTGTTGATGATTCATCGATGAATTGTTTGATTGATTCATCAACGATTCATCAACAATTAATCAACAATTCATCGATGAATCATCAACAATTCAGCAACAATTAATCAACAATTCATCGATGAATCATCAACAATTCATCAACTTTTCATCAGCCTTTCATCAACAATTCATTGATGAAATGATGATGATTCATCACCAATTCATCAACAATTCATCGATGAATCATCAACAATTCATCAACGTTTCATCAGCCTTTCATCAGTAATTCATCAACAATTCATCGATGAAATGATGATTAATTGTTGATGAATTGTTGTTGATGAATGCCTATGACATGCCCATGTTAAATTAATCAGTAATTTATATGGCCATTCATCGATGAATCATCAACAACACCCCTTCGGCTATTGATGAAACGTTGATGAATTCTTGATGAATGGTACTGCAGGGTTATAATACTGAAAACACTCATAAAACAGAGTTTCATTACATTTTACCTATACATACTTATTATGTTTACAGTTTGACAGTTACAGTTTTACATTCCCAGCTCTACATTTTCTCTACATTTACCGATCGGTTTATGTGGCAGCTATACTTATGATATCGACGCATTTTCGCGAAAGTATCGTATGTCGTAAAATCCAATTTTACAGGAGAAGCTTTTTTGTGCTTTAATCTCTTAGGAAGCACTATAGAAAAGACAAAATTGAAACTTAATTTTTATCGGAACTATAGGGGTTTCAGTTATAATATTTCACAGGGTAGTGAGACATTAGGTGCCCAACAATTTTGCATTAAAATCTCAATTTCGAAAAAAAGCGACATACGATACTTTCGCGAAAATGCGTCGATATAGTTGTCCGATATTCATGAAATTTATACAAAAATTCTGAAATAATAAAAGAAGCTCATTTCTAAAAGTAGATAAGAATATGTTAAAACACAACGAAGTTATAATTTTTTTCCTATTCATTTTCCGATCGTTCCTATGGCAGCTATAAGATAAACTCGTTTGATTTTCATAAAATTTTTACCAAAATTCTGGAATAATATAAAATGGCCATATCTAAAAAATGATGGAATAATATTGAAAAACAACCAAGTTATAATTTTTTTTCTAAAAATTTATCGAACATTTGTATGTCAGCTATCTGATATAGTCGTCCGATCCGGCCCGTTCCGACATATATAGCAGTGAGAGTATATAGAAGACTATATGCAAAGTTTCATTGTGATCCGACATTACATAGTTTCATGTGATCCGACATATTTATAATATAAATATCAAAACCAATCTGCAAGGGTATACAAACTTCGGTGTGCCGAAGTTAGCTTCCTTTCTTGTTTTATGTTAATATATCGTTGTTTTCTTATTTTAATCTTAAAGTAAATTCATTATACATTATAAAAATAATAATTTAAAGCTTTAAATGTTCCACCAAAGCTAATTTAGATCTTTTAAAAGTGCGATTGCAATCAGCTGATTTCCGAATAGAAATTCGCGCCAAAATACTGAGTTTATTTATGTTGTGTCACACGCGTTAATTTGACCCAAAAAATTCAAATAAAATATGGAAAATAATCTTCAAGGTATGCACTATTTAAAGTATATTGTTATTTTATGTGTAGTTCTACATATTTAGTATTATGTAATGTCCAATTTATGTGTATGTTGTTAGAAAACTAACATGCGTTTTCCGTGTTTCGTGGAATATAACTAATAAGCTGCTCCATGCTGACAGCAACTAATTGGTCCAGACTGTACTTGTGAGTGTTGTCTTTAAAGCCTAGTACTCTGACGAGAAAAACCCGCTGTCTAAATTAGACAGCGGAATCGCTGTTTATTTCGCTACCGAGCTAGTGTGACCAAAAAAAATTAAGGAAAATCCTGAAATGCCATGAAAATGTACTTTTTATGGCGTTTAAGGATTTTCTTTGGTCACACTGGACAGCTGTTTGTAAACAAATATTCAAAAAAAATATTAATAAATATGGCATTAAAATGTCCTTTGTGGGTTAAATTCCATATTATGGGCTTCCCCTTGACAGCCCCTATCAATGCCACCTTTTTCCTTCAACTTTCCCTCCATTAGGGGTGTCTAAATAAATCAAATGAATTATTTAGACAGCGCGATATCAGCTGTTTACTATCTTGATCTGGCAACGCCATTCAATTTTCGCAGGCTCATTTTCGTCGTCAGAGTACCGGAAAAAACGAGGTGGCTAAAAGTTCTTCTTCTTCTTTTTTCGACACCGTTTTTTTTATATGGAGTTTGGCCGCTGTCTAAAATTATACAGCGGATTTTTCTCGTTAGAGTACTAGGCTTAACCACAAACCAAAAACTCATCCCCGTTCGTACCCCGCATTTTGGTAATATATAGGCTCGTTTGAGTTTAGTCACATCGAACTTTTGAAATATGGCGCAGCAGCAATCGCAAAAATCAATGGTTGTCCGATTGGATATACACAAAAATGAATAAAAACGCTTTGGAATCCAACATAGTCATTTGAATAGTTACATTCATAAACGCCTTCCCAAATATTGAAATCTTGAATAAAAACTAACAAAAAGAAAAGGACTGATAGGATATATTTAGATTTATTCTTCTCAAACGCAACACCACAACCACTCGCTAGTAATACCGCAGCAAAAGAGAAAGAGGAAAAAAAAAAAAATACCGTTTAGATATACCAGATCTTATAACTTAAAAGATACTAGATTTTATTTTTGTATATGGGATATTCAACACGCCCCCTCAAAAATAACATTAAAGAAAACAAGAAAGGAAGCTAACTTTGGCACACCGAAGTTTGTATACCCTTGCAGATTGGTTTTGATATTTATATTATAAATATGTCGGATCACATGAAACAGGGCCTACTTTATTCCTATGGTCAGAATATGTGAAGCAGGGCCTTTTAAAATATGGAGCAGGGCCTTTTGAAATACGGAGCAGGGCCTTTCTGAAATACGGAGCAGGGCCTTTCTGAATTGAGTGAAAGCACGGCAGAGCAGGATAGATATATACTGCTGCCGAGTGAGGTCTGTTCGTGAAGCGCTGACATACAGGTTAGAAAGAGACGACAACAATGATTATGAAATGAGTGAATTGAGTGAAAGTAGAAAGGTCGAAAGTAGACTTTTTGGGAAGACAGTTTAGAAAACGCTTCGAAGACGAACAGAACTTGCTGCTGGGAACTTATTCAGATAAAATGGACCAGTCAAACGACCCTCCGACATCAGAAGTGGGATTCGCTTCGCCTACAGACAATACTCCTGGACAATATATGGCAGCGTTGGAAGCCCAGAGCAGGACCCTGATGGAGCTAATTAAGTCTATGCAGACACCAAGGACTTCGGCAGACGGCGATAAGGCTACGCATGTCACCTTGCCCAAATTTAATGCCGATGGTGCCGGAGCAGACGCCTCCGCCTGGTGTACTACAGTCGATCTCATATTTGCAGACCACGTTCTAGAGGGTAGCGGTCTGGTGATGACTTTAAGCAAGGCGCTTGAAGGCAGCGCATCACAATGGTTATCGCAAATATGTTTCGCTGGCATAACCTGGACACAGTTTAAAGAACTGTTCATTCAACGCTTCGTGGGAATGGAGACAACTACAGCGATTCTACTGAACGTTTTGGATGGTCGTCCTAAATCTGGAGAGGGATTCGCAGAGTATGGCAGTCGGATTGTTACGTCACTTATGTCCAAGTGGAAATCCAAAGACGTGGAGGAAATCGCAGTGTCAGTAGCTTTGGCACATATGGCGCAGATTGACAACAGCTTGTTGCGCTGGGTATATACAACCAATGTTACAAGCCGCAATGAGCTACAACAACAACTACAGGCTCATGCTTTTAAGAAGCGCAATGCAGAAGGTGACGCAAGTTCAACGGGTCCAGAGCGAAAGAAGATGAAGTTCCCAGTGAAATGTCATCATTGTGGAAAGATTGGACATAAACTCGCCGAATGCCGGACTCGACTGGAACGGGGACAGAACGCGAGGGGAAACAATCAGAACGAGAGCAATAACTTTGGAGTAAAAAACTGGATCAACATACGATGTTTCAATTGTAACGAAAAGGGACACTACGCTAGTTCTTGTCCAAAAATCCAAACCTGCGTGAACGAGAAGAAGAAGATGTACGAGAAGCGTGTGGACTTTTGCACTGTGGCCCCGCCAAAGGGAAAAATAAATGTATCCGGTGAGCTCATTCCATTTTGCTTCGACTCCGGAGCCGAGTGCTCTTTAGTTAAAGAAAGTGTTGCAGATAAATTCAAAGGAAAACGACTTAATAATATTGTAAAATTAAATGGCATAGGTAACGACTCCATCTGTAGTACAATGCAGATTCTATCCAATATAAATGTTGAACAGTATTCCCTAGAGATTTTATTGCACGTTGTAATGGACAAATATTTGAAATATAATGTTTTAATTGGCCGCGAAATATTAAGCCAAGGCTTTAGCGTAACTATTGACGCAGAAAAATTCAGCATTGACAAAACCAAAAGAGTTAACATCGTAAATTTAGCTAAATATGAAAATATTGTAGATTCCGATGGCGACCTGAGTAACTCTGACAAGATGGCATTAAAAAACATTTTAAAGCGCCATTCTGATTGGTTTATAGACGGAATACCACAGACTCGTGTAACGACAGGGAGTTTGGAAATCAGGTTAATCGACCCACAAAAAACAGTTCAGCGCAGGCCATATAGACTTAGTGAAGATGAGAAAGAACATGTTCGTTATAAAATTGACGAGCTTCTAAAATCTAATATTATTCGTCCCAGCTGTTCACCTTTCGCTAGTC